CCTGGATCCAGCCTCACATGTCCCTATCCCCTAGCCTGGACCATGCATGCCTCAGTCATTGTGGAATGCCCCAGTCCCCATCATGGACAAAGGCCAGTGCTCAACAACTCAGCTGAACTGAATCCCGGTGACCAGGCTTTGCCAGAACATCAAGGCTGAAAGCAAGATTCTGGGGCTCCTGAAAATGAGAGGTTTGTAATTTTATTAAGAAAACAAAAAAATAACCTATACAAAAAGGAAAGTTCCATTTCTGCAGGCAGCACTTAAGGCGGGAGGGACAGCTCCAAGTCTGATGGCATCCCTGTCTGCGCCCTCCCTGCCTGCTAGGCTTCCTGCTGCTGGATGAAGGGGTTGGGAATGGCCTCCATGCCATCCTGTGGGCAGATGAGCACCACTGAGGTGCCCCGGCACACCACCAGGCCCAGCTGGCGGGTGTCCTCTGTCAGCTTGTATTGGTCATCAGGGTCTGCGGAAGAAGAGAGGGCAGAAGTAAGAACTTCAGACCTTGCCTGGGGCAGGATGGAGTCTGAAGACCCAAATCAAAGGGTCCTCAGATTGCTTCCCCCATCCCTCTATCTGGTATTTTGGAGGGGACGTGCTGGCCAGGGCAGCAGGCCAACTGCCTCCCAAAGCCAGACATGCAGCCTTTCTCCCTGCAGTGGCCCAGAGACCAGGAAGAGTTCTGGAAACAACCATCCGAAGCCTGTCCTCATTCTGCAAATGAGAACATGGAGGCCCAAGGGACCGCAGGGGTGCTGGGTAGTGAAGCTAATTGGGGGCACTGGTGCTTGAGCCAGCAGAGGCCCTGGGGCCATGATATCAGCTGGGCAGCTGGAACAAAAATTTGTGAAAGTCCTGCAGGGCCACTGTTCACCCGTGTCAAAGGTGTGTTAACAGCGGAGCGAGAGGAAACCCATGGAAGTGATAGCAAGCTCCAGGGGAGCTCTTTTGAGTTCACAGCAACTAAAAGTCCCCACTACTGTTACTGAAAGATGTGGAGGAGGGGAGAACCAGGTGGCCCAGTAACATCAGAGACCTCATCTAAAAGGCAGCCTTCCACCCTCAGATCCTGCAGGGACAACAGCTGTCTGGGCCTGACCTTCCCATCCCCTATCCATTTGGATGGGTCCAGGCTTCCCTGAGAGGCTGATCTGGAAGATGAGGGGACACAGACTTATGCAGCAAGTGAGGCAGCACCCTGGCAGGAGAGACTCTGTGGAAGGAGCAGGAGCTGTACCTCCCAGGGTTAACCGGCCCTAAGTGCTTTGCATGCTTGAGCTGACTTGGTTTCCCCACTGGCCCCATGTGGTGGAGCTGTTACAGAAAAGGAAATTCATCCACCCAAGGTGGCAGGGCTGGGACTCTGGGTGGACCCAGGTGGGAAGAGAAAAAATGAGGGCAAAGCAAGAGGCCCCCTGGAGTTGACTGACTGAGCTGCGGCCATGCTTCCCCTCGGTGGCCAGTGACACTCTTATGTGGCTGTGTTAACTTTTCACCTGAATAACGTGTCTCAAGATACTGATGGTCCCCTGAGGAGCAAGACCTTCCCTCCCTCCTAGGTTTGGCATCCTCTTAATGCCTGATCAGGCTGAGCTGAAGAACTTGTTGACTGACGGGCCAGGGATGGCCTGATTGCCGTGGGCTGCTGCAGATGGAGGCTCTGGGGGTTTGGGGGTATAGGGACTAGGGGCAGAGTATAAGAGGAATGGGACCCTTTGTCAGCAGCAGGGATAACACATGGGGATGGCAGGGGACAGTGGGCTGACCAAACCCCAGAGTAGGTTGGCATCTTTCTAAAAAAAACCTTATTGATGAGAAAGATAGAGATAAGAGGAGAGGAGAGAGAGAAACATCGACTTGTTCCACTTATACATTCATTGGTTGATTCTTGTATGTGCCCAGACTGAGGATCGAACCAGCAACCTTGGTGTATCGGGATGAGGCTCTAACCAAATGAGTTACCCGGGCAGGGCCGGTTGGTATCTTTCTAACCCAGCCAAGCAGCTGGTGTCTCAGGATCAGTGATGGTGGTTTAGCAAAACATTTGCACATCTTTTAAGTCTCTGAGAGGACAGTGTATTGAGCTTGTCTGGAATGCTGGGACAGTGAAAGATTAAACATATCTGGCAGCCCAGCCGGCATGGCTCAACGGTTGAGCATCAACCTATGATCCAGGAGATCTCGGTCTGATTCCTGGTCAGGGCATGTGCCCGGGTTGTGGGCTTGGTCCCCAGCAGAAGGCATGCAGGAGGCAGCCAGGAGGCAGCTGATCAATGATTCTCTCATTATTAATGTTTCTATTTCTCTTCTCCCTCTCCCTTCCTCTCTCTCTAAAAATCAATAAAAATATATTAAAACAAAACAAAACACTTATCTGGCAGCTGTCTAGTCTACAAGGACCACATTCATAATTCAGATGGCAGGTTAGTGGTCTGGAACAGTAAGAACGGCCCAGCAAGGAGGCCTCCAAGCCCTGCTGGCTGCACTCACCTCTCATGTATTCAATGGTGCCATCAAGCACGAGGTTGAGGAGTGGGTCAAACCCTTTCAGGATTCCACTGGCTTGTAGGAATCACCAAGAAGAGAAGAGAAATGGAAAGGTGTAAGATCAACAGTGGTGCAGGGGGCAGGTACCAAATGCCACTAAATTGCATACTTTAAAATGGTTACTTTTATGTTATGTGAATTTTACTTTACCTCAATTTAAAAAACAAATGAGCACCCTAGGTTACAGCTCCTTGATCAAGGGACGTATCCTAGCACCTGAGGGGGGGGTGAGCCCCCAGTGGCCCTGACAGGCCATTCATCCTTCCTGCCCACTGATGCCTCTCCCAACTGTTCTCTCTGGCCTGCAGACCTTCACACTCATTTGTGCTTCTGCTTGTGATGCTCCACCTCCCACTCCTCCTTTCCAACTCCTCTCAACTTGCAGGCCTCTCATCACTTTGCTCTCACCTGGTGGAGGCAGGTACCCCACTATGTCAACACTCTGCTTGCCCATTTTCCCTGAAAGGCAAGGACTAGGTACTGTACTGTCCTCTCCACTAGATTCCAGTGGCAGATACAGAGTTAAGCACCATGTTTACACATAAAGCTGCAAACTGTGCCAGGTGCTACCAGGAGGTAATAATAAAGAGGCCTCAGGGAAGGTGGAGGGTCAGGGAAAGCTTCCCAGAGCCAAAACCTTGAGCTGAGAGCAGGAAAATGACTCTGGCGGCTAACCTGGTAACAAGTTAACCTGGTAAAAGCACTCCAGGCAGAGAAAACATGTACTTTTACAGCCCAGTGGTGAGAGCTCTATTAGTTACTCAGAGGTACCAAATGTTTGTATTTACCCTGGGACAATGGTGAGCCCCCGCAGGGCTAAAAAGGGAACAAGATTCTATTTGTTTTTAACAGGTACCTCTGGTTCATATTCAGAGGCTGACAGTAGGACTCTGGGTGATGTCTGAGACATTTTGGTTGTCAAAACTAACATGCTCCCGGCATCCAGTGGTCGAGGTCAGGAATGCTGCTAAACACCCCGCCATGCCCAGGATGGTCCCAAGACCATAACATTTGGGCCTCAAAGTTAACAGTGAGGAGCCTGAGGAACCCTGATGTAGGGGGATCAGTGAGGAGCTGCAGCGACAGAACCGCACAGGAGGCAAGTCTTGCATCCCAGTCCCAGCTACGCTACTATGGCTTTGGGTTAAGCCTGGTCCCCTTCCCATGCCTCAGTTTCCCCAGCTGCAAATGGGCATGGCAGGACCGACCTCCTGGCGTTTCTAGGAAGCTTGCACGAGTCATCAGGGCAAAACGCTTAAGCGATGCTAGGGTTATCAGCTGTCACTCTTGCCCCTCGTTACTTCTCGTAAATCGTTAGGGGGTGCAGAAGCGGGTGCCTCACCTTCGCGGCCTCCCTGAAACTTCACCCGGATCGTTTTGTCAATGTACTTGGACAGGTCCAAGATGCTCTCCTTCTTCTTCTTCTCTTTGTCCTGCAGGGGAAGCAGAGCGTGTGAGGCAGGGAGCGCGGCCGGCCCCTCCG